AACTCGCTTGGATGCAGTCCTGTACCACGTGCTCTAGGTGTCCCTGCGTGTGCAGGGGGGTTGGACTAGATGATCTCTAGAGGTCCCTTCCAACCTTAAGCATTCTATGATTCTATGATTTATACAATAAAAAATGGGCATGAAGTCATCTACTGTGGTGTTATAGCACTTCTCCCACCTGCACCAACCAAAACAGCTTGTGTGACAGTGCTGGATGAGGTGGCCCACTGAATTGGTCCAGAAATCCAATTCCTCTGTTGTTGATTAGAGATTATCTCTAGAATAACAAGTGCTTGGCATTACTAGACATCATGTGAATGACAGAGGCAGAGTTCTCCCACATGTTTTTGATGATTTCTACCCCTCAACTATCAAGATGAGCTAAAAAAACTAAGTTTTGCAGCTGAGCAGTGCAGCTGAATATATTCAGAACAACATTCTGGAATTGAAGATCAAGTCATTAAAAAGAAACTAATGTTAATCTATACGCCCAAGAGATGTTTCTATTTTCACTGGACTCATACAGAGCCTCTGTGTTGAGCAAGAGCAACGTCTTCCCTGACTCCTCTGCTCCACAGGGCCCTGCACAGGAAAGAACCCTCAGTGATGAAACTCACAGGCCAAATCCAGCCCATGAGACAGCAATGAACACGCAGTAACTTTCAGTTTTGTTTCAGAGGCTTCGGCATCGTGGGCTTGCAAAACCCCCATTTCACAGGAACATATTTTCTCTCCCCCTACCCTTAAACTTCTTAAGCAAAGCTTTAACCTCAAGCTACCCAGTTGCAGTGATGATCCAACACAGCAGTGCCACATCCAAACAACATCTCGGTGTGTGCATTAAAGGCATTAAGCAGCAGTACCACTGCAGTATGCAGATATTAGCCTAGTGTGAGGCTGCAAACAGCCTTGTGCAGCTCAGCCCATCACTGTGGGGCTGCTGCTGCCCATACAGCCCTCAGCCCTGTTCCCTTCCCTGGGGCTGTTCCAAACAAGGGAGATAAAGAGGCTGAAAATATGGGAGAAACGGATATTATATCAGCATCCATTAATCATTTGATCTTTAATTTGGCAATATCGACTTTTTATTTAGGAATATCCATCTCAAAGTGTTGAAGTTCAGGATAAATACAACATTTGGAGCCCCTAGATTCCAGAAAAATAGCTATATTTGTTTTATAGCCAAGTACCAGAGTCTACCTCCTTATCTCTACGCTAATGAGACAGCATTAATGTCATAAACATCCTGCAAGATTTCTTCTTTTTTTTTTTTTTGATTGCTTGGAAGATTTTTTGAAATAATTTGGGTAACAAAAACATTCCATAAAGCAATTACTCATTTCCTTGTATTGTAACTTCTAATATTGGAAAAAAGAAAGCAATGCTACCTCCCCTTTATAATGATGGAGTCTCTTTTTTTCCCCATGAGGTTTAATAGCCCAGAATCTAAGATAATTAAGACTTTTATGAAGCTGCTTAATGTATTTCCTGCTAGGGAGCATTGAACTAAACGGTAATATCAGCAAGTTGGAAACTACCAGACTGATAAATTCATTCTTACACCAGGCTAAACATACCCTTGGCATGCCTGCCTGCCCAGTGCAGAGGAAGGCAGCATTCTCTTCCCAATTCAGAGGTGAAACTGCTAACTAGAAAAGATCCAGAAATAAACATTAACAGAGATACAGAAAACTACCACCTGCTAAAAAAACACACCAACTTTGACTCCTTTGACTCTAGGGTGCAGAGCAGACACAATCAAAGTGCAAATGCAGTAGAGACCTATGGACTTAGCAATAGCAGAGGCAAGATAAGCACTAGAGCTCTCACAACGCAAAGCCAGAAAGAAGCAAATTAAAGCAGCCTTGCTCCGAAGCCCCTCCCCGCAACAGAGGGGGATTCTTCACGGACTTCCTTAAAGAGGGTAGCCCTCACTTCCAAACACCGGCAGACACCAAACGCTTTACCCCGACTCGGGCAGCAACGAACCCTCCCTTCCGCCTGAGCAGCCCCCAGCCCAGGGAGCAACGGGGCGGCCCGCTCCGCCGCCCTCAACGCGTCCCAGCCAGGCTACACGCCCGTTAAAGGCCGCTTCCAGGGATGGGGAAGTCCGGGGAGTACACAGACACCGGGTGCAGCAGAGCCGCCCGGCCAGGCCCGACCCGGTCCGCGCGAAGGGCGCCCCCCGGGACCAGCCGCCCCCAGCCCGGGACGCCGAAACGTCCACACCACCACCGCCCTCCCCTTGGGCCCGCCGTTACCTGCGCAGTGCCTCGCGGCGCCGCGGCGGGAAACCGCGTCCATCCTCGGGCACCGAC